GCCAGGAGCCCCTAGTAGCGTCCTTGCTCCTAGTGGCGATGCCCTTTGCTCCAACTAGCTTCTTGCTACTAGTAGCTTCTTGCTCCTAGTAGTAAGGGCCAGGAGCCCCTAGTAGCGTCCTTGCTCCTCGTAGAAATGCCCTTCGCTCCTAGTAGGTTCTTGCTGCCCCTAGTAGCGTCCTTGATCCTAGTAGCGATGCCCTTTTTGCTCCAACTAGTGTCCTTGCTCCTAGTAGCGACGCCCTTTGCTCCAACTAGCTTCTTGCTACTAGTAGCTTCTTGCTCCTAGTAGTAAGGCCAGGAGCCCCTAGTAGCGTCCTTGCTCCTAGTGCGATGCCCTTTGCTTTCTTGCTTTTAATAGCTTCTTGCTCCTGGTAGCAAGGCCAGGAGCCCCTAGTAGCGTCCTTGCTCCTAGTAGCGATGCCCTTTGCTCGAACTAGCTTCTTGCTGCTAGTAGTATGGCCTAGTAGTGCTTGCTCCTAGTAGAAATGCCCTTGGCTCCTAGTAGGTTCTTGCTGCCCCTAGGAGCGTCCTTGATCCTAGTAGCGATGCCCTTTGCTCCAACTAGTAGTGAGGCCAGGAGCCCCTAGTAGCGTCCTTGCTCCTAGCAGAAATGCGCTTCACTCCTAGTAGCTTCTTGCTGCCCCTAGTAGTGTCCTTGATCCTAATAGCGATGCCCTTTTGCTCCAACTAGTAGTAAGGCCAGGACCCCTTATAGCGTCCTTGCTCCTAGTAGCGATGCCCTTTGCTCCAACTAGCTTCTTGCTACTAGCAGCTTCTTGCTCGCAGTAGTAAGGCCAGGAGCCCCTAGTAGCGTCCCTGGTCCTAGTAGAAATGCCCTTCGCTCTTCGTAGCTTCTTGCTCCTAGTAAGGCACCTTGCTACTAGTAGCTTCTTGCTCCTAGTAGCAATGCCAGGAGCCCCCAGCGTCCTTGCTCCTAGTAGCGACGCCCTTTGCTCCAACAAGCTTCTTGCTCCTAGTAGAAAGGCCAGGAGGGCTCCTAGTAGAAATGCCCTTTGCTCCTAGTAGCTTCTTGCTACTACTAGTAAGGCACCTTGCTACTAGTAGCTTCTTGCTCCTAGTAGCGATGCCAGGAGCCCCTAGTAGCGTCCTTGCTCCTAGATGCTCCTAGTAGAAATGCCCTTTGCTCCTAGTAGCTTCTTGCTCCTACTAGTAAGGCACCTTGCTACTAGTAGCATCCTTGCTCCTAGTAGGGATGCCCTTTGCTCCAACTAGCTTCTTGCTACTAGTACGGCACCTTGCTACTAGTAGCTTCTTGCTCCAAGTGCTTGAATGGAACTGGTCTGGAATAACTCGAGGGAAACATGCTGTCCGAGAAGATGGACTTTGGACACTCGGGTTCAATCAAATACTATCGAAAGGGCGACTTGAAGCAATATCCTGCTATAAATGGAAGATCAGAAAGTCAACGCAACAACCCTAGTACTGCCAAGGTGCCAAACATAGAAACGCCTCGTTTTGTCCAGAGATCTCCTGCAGCTCGGGCTCACAGAGCAGGCCAAAGGGCCGCAAAGCTAAGTCTCCCAACCTCAGAGAGACGATCTTCTCATGTTTTTTGAATTGGTCCCATTCAGGGTTTGTCCAAAGTTGGTACACTCAGGAAATGTGTTTCTAAACTTGGCCATGTAATCCACTGGAATCCATTGACTCAGCTCGCAAGAGAAAGGTACCGAAACAGTTCCAGTGCCAAAGGTTCTAAAATCAATCCACGCTTGGAGCGCGAAAGACTTTGTGGTTTGCTATATTACCCTACACCCCAAAAATTACAAATATCAACTCTTTTTTCCCACCAATAATTCGCCACCTCCAGGCTGAGCTACGCCCGAGACATTGCAACACCAATAGGTCCAGCCCAAAGAATGCCTTTGGAGACACGAGCTCCAGCAGCCTAGATTCGAAGGGCGACTGTTCGACCTTCCTTGATGATTTGACTATACCAACATTTACCAACCATGGCAAACGTCCTCTTTGTTTGACATGGCAGTGTAAAAAGGGGGTTGGTGTGACTCCGTCCTGCAAATTCCTGCTTGCACGCTTGCACGCTGGTGAGTGGTTGTTGTGAACCCAGCCGCAAGAATGGTGTTTTCTTATCTGCGGGCAAAGAAAGTTCATCTGCAGGAGAACTTTCCCAATGACCAATCCAAAAACCTCCGAAAACCAACATAGACCCTCCGACAATGATTTGCAGAAAAATGCAAGCCGGACCAGTTTCCATTACACAACACTGGAGACGAAACTTGAGATAGGCGGGTGTGAACGGTGAACGAAAGGTAGCAAATGGGCGGGAGGGGAAAGGAAGAGGATCGCAAGGGGGGAGTCCAAGTCTCGAGAGGCATGAGCGCTTCTGACTGAATTACACTTTCCTAAACCACCGTGGAAATTGGTGATTTACAAGGCCACACAAACATGGAAACTTGCAAGGAACACATTACTGGGGAACACCGCGTATGTTGGCTTGAACCACAATGTCCTTAAAAGACACTAACATGGAAAGAGTTTGGTCAGGGGGGGGTCATAAACCCGTGTTTCTCTAGGAAAATCTGAGGTAGTTGAAAGAATTTGTCAATCCACTGGTTTCTAGGTTAGCGTTTTCAAACTATTTTTCCCCACATTGTTGTGTGGGGTTCTTGTTTTTTTGCTGCACCGCCTCGCTCGTTCTCCGTCCGCGCTCCTCCTCCTTCCCCTCCTCCTTCCTCCTTCCTCCTCTCTCACACAACCTCGCTCACAACAACATCTCTCGCTTCACCTCAACGTCACTCAGACAACATCGCAGATCTCGTGGCAGGCACAGCACTTTGTGAATCTCCGTGTGCAGATCTCGTGGCAGGTACAGCGCTTTGCTGCTTGCCAAGGGGTCGGATGTACGCCCTGGCGTCGGCTGGGCACCGGCGCTGGATGTGCAGATTTCGTGGCAGGCGCAGCACTTTGTATGAAGGTGCAGATCTCGTGGCAGGCACAGTACTTTGTGAACCTCCGTGTGCAGATCTCGTGGCAGGCACAGCACTTTGCTGCTTGCCAAGGGGTCGGATGTAGGCCCTGGCGTCGGCTGGGCACCGGCGCTGGATGTGCAGATTTCGTGGCAGGCGCAGCACTTTGTGAACCTTCATGTGCAGATCTCGTGGCAGGCAAAGCACTTTGTGAACCTCCGTGTGCAGATCTCGTGGCAGGTACAGCACTTTGCTGCTTGCTAAGGGGTCGGATGTACGCCTTGGCGTCGGCTGGGCACCGGCGCTGGATGTGCAGATTTCGTGGCAGGCGCAGCGCTTTGTGAACCTTCATGTGCAGATCTCGTGGCAGGCACAGCACTTTGTGAACCTCCGTGTGCAGATTTCGTGGCAGGCACAGCACTTTGCTGCTTGCCAAGGGGTCGGATGTAC